AAAACATGAGACATAAATTGTCAGGTGTGCTGATTTTGGCCATGGGCACTTCTCCTGCTGTCCAGAGAAGCCTTTAACTCTACATTATATTTTTTTTTGTTAGCATTGTAATCTGCATCAGGAATACAGTATTTTTTTCTGACAGGCCAAGGTAGTGGTTTACTTTTTGAATTTTTAAAATTTAATTTTGGGGAGATAGAAACACTTAAGACCTCCCCTCTTAACAGATTTTAAGTATACATTATTGTTCACTATTTAGGCACAGTGCTATACAACAGACTCTAGAACTTACTCATCTTGCATAACTGAAACTTTATACTCATTAATTAGCAACTCCCCATTTCCCCTCCAACCCAGTCACTGACAACTACCATTCTACCTTCTTCTCTGAGTTGAATTGTTGTAGATAATTCATGTAAGTGGCATTAGTCCTTCTGTGATTGGCTTATTTCACTTAGCATAATGTTTTTAAGTTTCACTGATATTATTGAAGATTGTAGGATATCCTTCTTTTTTAAGACTAAATAATATTGTGTATACCACATTTTCTTAATCCATTCATCTGTTGGTGGACATTTAGGCTGTTTAGACATCTTCACTTTTATAAATAATATTGCAATGAATATGGTCGTGCCATCTCTTAGTGTTGTAGCCTCATGTTCCGGGAAACAAACTGACTCAAAAGAACAATGCAGATAGTGGAGTGCAGTATATTACACTGGCGGGCCCAAGGCAGAGTCTCCTCTTAGCCAAGGCCCCAGACCAGTTTTTATGAAAACCTTACATACCCTAAGTGTATGTGCCCAAACCCACCTCCCCAAATTCCCTGAAACTAGTCTGAACAAAGGGAAAAGAAAGATCCAATCAAAGTTAACCCATGATTCATATGCCTTAAGCCTAGGTAGTTAATAGTGTACAATTATCAATAGGCCTGTGGTCATACCCCAATAAGCATAATAGAATGTATGATTCTATTTGGTTACACAGATAATTAGGGTATTCTTTTAGGCAACAGAGAGCCCTAGGGCTCTTCCTTCTGGGGGCCTGGTTTTCCAGTTGGTATGTTTCCATAGATAGTGTGCATATAGCTCAAAGTCCACAGTTCAGCCCAAGATGGAGTCCTGCTTTCGAGATAGAGCCTGTTCTGTTTCCTCCTTCATTAGAGGTCCAAATTTCCGTTCTTTTGGATAAATACTCAAAGTTTGATCTCTGGGTCATGTGATAATTCTGGGTTTTTTTGGCCACATGCAGCTGGCAGAATCCTAGTTCCCTGACGAGGAATCAAACCTGGGCCCACAGTAGTGAAAGCATGGCCCCTTCAGGGCCCAAAGATTGGGCTCTTGTCTAACACTGGGAAAAGAATTGTCTGAGGAGACATGTGCTGACAAATCAAGAGACTTTATTGGAAGAGGGCACCCGAGTGGAGAGCAGCAGAGAAAGGGAACCAGGAGAACTGCTCTGCCACATGGCTTGCAGTCTCGGGTTTTATGTTGGTGGGATTAGTTTCTGGGTTGTCTTTGGCCAATCATTTTGACTCAGAGTCCTTCCTGGTGGCACACCACATTGCTCAGCCAAGATGGATGCTAGCGAGAGGGATTCTGGGAGGTAGACGGACACGTGGTGTCTTCTTTTGACCTTTCCTGAACTCTTCCAGTTGGTGGTGGCTTTTTAGTTCTGTGTTCTTTACCAGGACCTCCTGTCGTAAAATAACTCATGCAGACGGTTACTAGAGAGCCTGGCCAGGGTGGATGGTTCCAGTCAGTGTTTTACCCCTAACAATAGCACCAAGTCTTAACCACTAGGCCACCATGGAATTCCCTAATAATTCTATTTTTTAATTTTTTGAGCAACTTCCATACTGTTTTCTATAACACACCATTTTACATTCTCCTCAACAATGTACAAGGGTTCCAGTTTCTTTACATGCTTGCCAGAACTTGTCTTTTATTTTTTTGATAATAGCCATCCTAACAGGTGTGAGGCAGTGTCTTGTAGTTTTGAGTTTGAGTTGCATCTCCTTAATAATGACATAGAACATCTTTTCATATCCCTGTGGACCATTTGTGTGTCTTCAGTTTTATATTAATTTTACATTAATGTATTATATCTTCTCATCCTTTATCCCTCTATCTGTCCTAACCTAGGAATTTTCAGGCCTCTAGTGCTTTTATCACCCCTTAATTCATAAGCCTCCAAAAAGTTGTAGCTAAGCCTTCTTAATTCCCCTCCTAAAAGATTCGTTTGAGTTACTTTTTACCCCAAATCAGTGATACTTATAAGATCATTCTTTAGGTTTATTTTTTTAATTCTTCAATTTTCTTTGTTGTTACAAGATTATTTTCCCACAGACTCCCTACAGATTTATTAGGTCATGTCCTAAGTTCTTTGTGACTGTCATTTTAAAATTTTATATTTTTCTCTCACTTTCCTTCTACAGTCCCTTGATGATATCCGCCAGTCTTCACTCAAATGCATTTTCTTTCTTGTCAGTTTCTCCTAGATAGGCCAGAGTTCAGTCAGTTATTCCAATCTTAAACTGTGAAGTCAGAATCCAAACTCTACTCTTCAGTGTCAGCCATTTACCTTTTCTGTCCTCCTTTTTTTTCTGCTCCCCGCCCCCCCTATCCTTCAGTTACTATTTATGAGGGGAAAATACCATCTGTAGACCTATAATTTTTCACTTTTTTGACACATTTTGAGAGATCTTCTCTAAATTTCTTTTCCGCAATATCATTTACTACAGATGACTCAGAAGGCAGGGACAATGTTTGCTGGTTTAATAATTCTTGGTTGGCTGCCTGTGTCATTTCAGATACACGATCTAGAAAAAAAACAGAACAGCACACCAGCTGACAGATCTATATTTAGCTGTCTATACACACTAGTAGGAAGATGTCATTGGCTGTTAAGAGAAATTTCTCTCTGGTGACAATAAAAGGTTTCTCTAAATTTGCTATTACTTGTGGTTCTCTTATTATTCCTCAGAGCATGAATTGATGTTTTTCCAGAAGGTTTGACAAAACCTTATTTGGGAGTACCTGTTAGCAGCGACTTAGCATGCATGCATGGAAACAACACACATGTCCATTAACTGATGAATGGTTAAACAAAATGTGGTGTTTCTATACAATAGGAAACTGATGCATGCCACAACATGGATAAACTTTGAAAATGTTTAGCTTGTTATGCTGAGTGAAAGAAGCCAGTCACAAAGACAACACATTTTGTAATTCTGTTTATATGGGATTCCATAATAGACAGGTCCATAGTGACAGAAAGTAGATGGTTGCCAGGTTGCGGGTGTGAGGGGGACTGGGAAGTGGCTGCCAGCAGGGTTTCTTTTTGGAATGGAAAAAATAGTGTATTGGTTATAGAACTCTGTGAATATACCAAAACCTCTGAATCGTACACTTCTAATGAGGTGAATTTTAAGGTGTGTGAATTGTCTCAAAAAGCTGTTATAAAAATGTTTTTGAATGAAAAATAGTTTTATTCTATTTATGAAAAGAATACTTGATTAAAAAAGTTTAGACATAAAAAGATGTGAAGGAAGCTAAGTCAGCCATAATTCTAACCATTCAGTTTGCATTATTGACACTTTATGTATTTTACAATATTTTTTAGAGTGTATTTCTAATTATTAAGGGTAGAAGTAGTACCCAAGTGACAAAAGAAGTAAAATGATCATATTGATTTTTACCCTGTATTCAGTATGAAGCAAATGATGTAATATTTTCAGAATTTATCATTAGTCTTTCATTAGTAGCCAGTTTATACAATTAGTTGTGTAAAGCTAGATAAAGTGAAATTTTTTCATGAGCTAAATGAATTCTGGATTTTATACACTTCAGGGTTACAGTCAACAAATTAATCTTGAAATATTGCATGTAGCATTGTCCCTCTTCCTATGGCTGTTAGAAAGCTCATACCATGTGTGATGTATCATACAAGTCAGCAATCGTCAACTGTTCTATATCCTGTTTAATTGGAGCGTTCACTAACCAAACTGTAACAAACATTTCTGAACACCTAATTTCTGCCCTTGTCTTGATGTTTACAACTACACTTTGAGTAACATTGTTCTTTTGTGACTTAAAAATCTTTTTCTCGAGAATATTTATTTCCTTGGAAAAAGGTTAATCTGTGAAAACGGGAAGTGGTATAAATGACAGTCTCAATTTTGTTTAAAAAGACGTTTTTGGTTTTTTTTTCTAGCTGGAAGAAGGAAAGTAAGCATCTTTGGATGCTAGGAGGAAAGATGAGTTACTTTGTGAACATTAACGATGTTTTTACTGTGTACTTATTACCTTTGGGCTTCCTTGGTGGCTCAGACAGTCAAGAACCTGCCTGCAATACAGGAGACCTGGGTTTGATCCCTGGTTTGGAAAGATCCCTTGGAGAAGGGAATGGCAACCCACTCCAGTATTTTTGCCTGGAGAATTCCGTGGGCAGAGGAGCCTGGTGGGCTACAGTCCTTGGGGTCTGAAAGAGCTGGATATGACTGAGCGACTAACATTTTAACTTTTACTAAATTACTTTTATAGTGAGAATATTGTTCAAGTTAAACCTTACTTATTTATAGTAAGTTCCCTTTAAAGTGACAGTGGCAGCAAGATGGCCAGCACTTAGCAGCTAGACAAAAACCTTTTAGAATTGGTTTGACACTTGACAGTCATGTGTTAAAATGTTGTTTGGCAATGTGAGATTTAAAGATTCATTTACTTTAACACTTTTTACTAGATTCTCTATTCTTGGGATGTTGATATGAGGGCAATTCTTGTCCTCAAACTCAGCGTAGTGGAAAAGAGCTGTGACAATATAGTGTGCTAAAGGCTTCTCTGATAGAGAGTTGAACAGACCATCCTTATGGTCTTGTAGAAAAAATGGGTGTCTTAAAATCAGTACCATATGGCAGTCTATGAAAGTATGGTGTGGGAGATTCAGGAAAAATTCTTAAGGTTAGCACTATTACAAAATTTACCCATATTTTTATCTTTCAGGATTCAGCACAAAATGAACATTATTAAGGAAAATAAGGACTTAGCATGTTTCTACACAACAAAACATTCATGGAGGGGGAAGTAAGTATTTGTTGATTTTTCTGTGCCTCTGTAAAGTATTTTAAAAATTACTTTTTCTTTTGATATGTTTGGTTTTCTCTGTTTTCGGAAGGAATTTGGATAAGAATTAAAAGGAAAATAAACTGATTATCCATAGTCTTGAATGCTGTCACTTAAGGATGAGTTTTTGTAGTAGTGGAGTGTTAACTTCACAACTTTATCACCTAGAGATGAGCCTATATGTTGTCAATGCATTTTCACATCCATTTGACAGTCAAAGAAAATATGCCAATAGTGCATTTTGTATTTTTTCTTTTAACCTGTAATTAAATTTAAAAATTGGTTTTGATCTTTTCCTTGGGACGGGTTGATGACATTTTTCAGTAACTTGCCTGGTCAGACTGAGGTGTAAATGGTTTCTGTTTCCTGCTGTAAAATGAATAGTAATTCCTAGCCTTCTGATTAATATAAGGATTAAATAAATTGATATGGAGTGTGTGAAGGTTTTAAAATGATACCTTAAATACATTCAGTATTCAATGAATGACAGTTTTTGATCATTACAAAAAAGTTTAGTCTGTTATTTTGAGTAGTAATAAGTAAAATGAGTATGCCACACTTTGACAAATAGGTGACCACATTATTCCAAATCAGGCCTCAGACTAAGATAAAAATGTGACATGTGCCAAAGCCAGTAATTTTAATTCTTCCCTCCTACCCCCTTGGAGGATGAGGAGAGAGAGTGGTGTAATTCTTATTCTTAACTTTCCATTTTTTAGGTAATAGTGTTATTACTTCTTAGAATGGTGCAACATCTGAATTCTGTAGTGTTTCTGGTTTGCATTAATGAACTGACTAATTTTGAAAGATTTGAGTGTTTAATTTTGTTTCCTTTTAGAATCTCAGTTGTATGAGCTACTTAATTGTTATCCTTGTAGTATACTTGTCTTGAAATTTTTTTCTTCAGTTAATTTCATTAAGCAAAGTTAGAATATTGGCATATTCAGAGTAGTATGACTCTCTTTAGTTCTTTCAGTAAGTCTTAAAAATGTTGTATATTTAAATGATCCTAATTTTTTTCTCAAATTTTAGATTGCTCTAATCATCATAATATAACTTTTGTTTTTTAAATGTTATTATATCATTATGTTGAATTCTACAAAATAACTATAATACTTTTTGCTTTGTGAGCTTGTTGTAATTGTGATCATCTAGAAAAAAATTTTTAATGTTCTTAGTGGTGACTATGACTTAAGACAGTCCTTTTATTTTTCCTTTCTTTGTAATTATTTGGAGCAGAACTATTTCTTTGCTGCAAGCACAGTTCCTTCCCTCTCATTCACACCTTGAAATTTGTTTTGTTTTTATAACAGCTTTATTGATGAAATTTATGTAACATAAAACTTTTTCAAGTGTACAATTCAGTGGTTTTTAGTATATTCGTAGAGTTGTGAACCATCACAACTCTCTTTAGAACACTTTCTTCACCTCTCAAGAGTATTCCTTTAAAAATATTAGCAGTTCCTTCCCTCCCTTCTCTTATTCCCTGCATCTGGCAGCCTCTCATCTATTTTCTGTTTCTGTATTTGCTTATTTAGGACATCTCATATAAAAGGATTCATCCAATATGTGATCTTTCATGACTGTCTTCTTTCACATAACATGTTATCAGGGTTTATCCATGTTATAGTATGTGTCATTACTTCATTTCTTTTTATTGTCAAATGTATTGCATGGGTATGCCACATTTTGTGTTGATGGACATTTATATTATTTCTACTTTTTTACTGTTATGAATAGAATAGCGCTACTATAAATGTTCACGTACATGTTTACTAGTGAATCTATATTTCCAGTTCTCTTGAGTATGTACCTAGGAGTGGAATTGATGGTATATGGAGTTATATAGAAGTATGTGGTAACTCTGTGTTTAACTTTTTGAGGAACAGGCAAACTGTTTTCCAAGTGGCTGCAGCATTTTATAATCCTACCATCAGTGTATGAGGATTCCAATTTCTCTACATCTTTACCTACACTTGTTATTGTATGTTTTTTTTTATTTTAGGCATCCTAGTGAGTATGAAGTGGTATCTCATTGTGGTTTTGATTTGCATTTCCCTGATGACTAAGATGTTGAGTATCTTTTCATGCTTATTTGCCATTTGTGTATATATCATGAAATGTCTGTTCAAATCACATACCCATTTTTTAACTGGGTTATTTGTTGAGTTGCATGAAATCCTTATGGATTGTGAATACAAGTCTCTTATAGAGATATGATTTGCAGTTTTCTCCTGTTTGGTGGTTTATCTTTTCATTTTCTTGATGGTGTGCTTTGAAGTATGACTTTTTAATTTTGATGAAATCGAGTTTATCTATTTCTTTCTATTGCCACTTGAGCTTTTTGTGTTGTTAGCCATTACGTAATTCAAGGTCCCAAAGATTTATTCCTTTTTTTTCTAAGAGTTTTATAGTTTTGATTTTGGGTAACTTTTGTGTATAGTGGGTAGTGGGGATCCGTCTTTATTTTTTTGTATGTGGGTATCTAGGGCTTCCCAGGTGGCTCAGTGGTAAGCAGTCCAGTCCTCCTGCCAGTGCAGGAGATGCAGATGTGAGTTTGATCCCTGGGTCAGCAAGATCCCTTGGAGAAGGAAATGGCAACTTACTCCAGTATTCTTGCTGGGAAAATTCCGTAGACAGTGGAGCCTAGTGGGCTACAGTCCATGGGGTTGCAAAGAGTTGGACATGAGTGAGTAACTACAGTTTCACTTTTCTTTTCAAAGGTCCTACATTTCCTAGATAATGATAGTTATTTCATTGTGTTATATACATTATTGTGTGGCACTGAATCTTTTATTATATTGCTATTTTATGTAGCCCTTTTCTGGTAGCTCAGCTGGTAAAGAATCTGCCTGCAATGCAGATGACCCAGGTAGGGTCAGGAAGATCCCCTGGAGAACAGAATGGCAACCCACTGCAATATTCTTGCCTGGAAAATTCCATGGACAGAGGATCCTGGTGGGCTACAGTTCATAGAGTTGCAAAGAATTGGACACGACTGACTAACAACAACAGTTTTATGTAGTCAATTCTAATCTAAGCTTAAAGTATTTCTCATCAGCCTTATGAAAAACTAAATGCCCCCACATTGAGATTTTTCTGTTGTTTTGGAGTTGCTATATGAACCTTCTCTTTAGAACATATTTCTGCATACAACAAATTTTGTGTGTGATATGGGGGCTTTAGGGCCTCAGTTTTAAGAGATTCCATCTCAACCCCAACATTTCAGAAAAATGTTATTGGTAGTGGCAGTAAAGATGGTCAAATGTTTTTTTTTTTCTCTTAGTATACCTAAATTAAAGATAACCTCTCCAGGTATTTCCCTTGGGGATATTCATGTCACTTATTTCATGTTACCTTTATAATAATTTTCATGTTTCACTTTGCAGCCGCTACTTATTTTTTAATGATTCAGGTCTGTTCACCATCATTGTAGACCCTTTGGCTGGCAAAGTAGCTTTTCTGCTATGCTTGTCATTTTCCCACTTGTACACAGTTAAATTTTATCTTTGCTCTGGAAACAGTGAGAAATAGGAGAAGACGTCAGTAGTAAAAAATACTTTCTTTCATTAAAGAGCAAAATTTCCTTTTTGGCCTGGCAAGTCATTTCTGATAGAAGGAAGATTCATACATTTCAGTTAAACAGAAGTGAATATTCTCTACGAAAATCTTCAGAGTAAGGTTGAAAATTAGGTACTTAATTTTTTCCTGAATGGAAATTACATGGAAAATCTGCCTGTGGATCACTTTAATATTTGCATACATTAATTGCGGCAAATGCTCTGAATTTAAAAGTAGAATTTCAGTATCTGAACAGGATTTTAGCTTCAGTACATTGGGATATGTCTGTGATAAGTCATTGGCAGGTACCCACTATATTCATAGCCCCTGGAATGACTTGATACAGGAAATTCGAGATAAGAGTTAAGGGGAAGGGAAGCTGATGAATCTCTGATTCCTTTCTTGTAAGTAGGAATAGAGTTGGACAAGGAAAAGAGACTCTTCTCTTTAGCTGCCTGTTACTTACACACCTCACTAACTCTGGTAAGTCTAGGAATCCTGAGGTTTTTTTCCCCTGCTTTGTTGATTTTAGCCCTTGCCCCTGCCAGCCTCTAAACCAGGTATGAGTCCATCCTGAATTGTCTTTGTGTTTTCTTTGTACATCTCTTATTGCTTATCAGGCATCTTGATATTTGAATATCTTTCAGAAGTGCAAATAGGACCACATCTCCTTATAGGAATTTTATATTTTATGCACAATGTTCTATTAAAAGCACAGTCTTTTTATTTTTTTAATGTTCCCTTGTTACTCTCTCCATACCTTCCACCCTCTCCTTCTCCCCCCGACTCCAGCTGAAAAGCACAGAATCTTTTCAGCAAATGATACTTGACACCTGGATATCCACTTGCAAAAAAATGAATCTAGGCATAGATTCTGCACCCTTCACAAAATTAACTCAGATTAACTCAAATTTCAGACCACAGACCAAAATGTGAAATGCAAAATTATAAAACTCCTAGATAACATGGGAGAACATCCAGATTACCTTAGGTTTGATGATGATGTTTTAGATACAGCACCAAAGGTAATAGTCATGAAAAAATGAATTGATGGGTGGACTGTATTAAAGTTGAAAACTTAAGCTTTCTGAAAGACACTATCAAGAGAATGTGAAGACAATTTGGGAGAAAATAACTGCAGAAGATAAGAACTATTCTACTTACAAAGGACTCTTAAAACTTAACAATGAAAAAACAAACAACTTGATTAAAAAGTGAGCCAAAAATCTTAACAGAGACCTCACCAAAGAAAATATGCCAAGAATTTCTTGGTGGCCCAGTGGTTAGGGCTCTGTACTTTCACTGGTCTGGGAGCTACAATCCCACATGCCATGCAGCATGGCCATAAAAGAGAAAAATAGAAAATGTACAGTTGACAAGTAATTCAGGGAAATGTAAAT